CCTGGCTCCTCCTCTCCCACTCCCGCCCGGGAGGGGTCAAGGCTAGCCCGGAGCACAGGGGGCGGAGGCGGGGGTGGGGGTCTGGCGGGGGTGGGGGTCTCTCGTCTCTGCACGATTCGCAGCGTAGGCGGCGGCCCCTGCGTAGGAGAGGAATGGAGGGGTCACGAGGGGGACTCCGGGATGGGGCCCATCCTGTGGAGGAAGCGACGACCCCCTCCCGGCGCGCAGACGCTCCCCGCCCACCCGGTCACCGGGCGGACCTGGCGGCGCCGGGCCCTGCGCTCCAGTAGAGGCGCCCCGGAGAGGGACAGAAGGGTCGTGGGGTCCTCTGCCCCCAAAGCCGCCGGGCTGCCCCGCCCGCCCAGCCACGTCTATTAGCGGCTCCTTGTGACATAAACACCACTTCACAGAGAAGGCGAGGCCGGGGTTTGGATCTCAGCACCTCGAGTTTTCTTGTCCCAAGTCCCCTGTGTTTTTGACATGGCTAAATCCACTTGTCCGTCAGACACCCCCCGCCCCCCAGGAGAGCCTTACCTGAACCCACAACCCCTCCCCTTTTCTCACCCGCCACGCATGGGTTAGGGACCCTCTTCTGCATTCCCACAGCCCGCTGCCTTCTTCCGTAAAATTGCTCTTAAAATACCAAGTTTTAACGGTGTGGTGACACACATACCTCTCCCATCAGACTGTGAGGTCCTTGAAAGCAGAAAATAAGAATGCCCTTGTAGCTATAAAGCCCACCCCAGCACATATTGATTAAAACTGAAAAAAAAAAGTTAAAAATGTATTGAGCATTTGCTTTATATTTAGTTAGAAATATATAATACTTACTATGTGCCAGGCATTATTCTAAGTGCTTTACAAATGTTTCCTCATTTCATCCTTACTCCATCAGTTCTCAAAGTGTGGCCTGATGACAGCTGGGGCCTTCCAATACCCACAGGGTTTCTGTGAGCTTGTCCCGTTTGCTAGCTATATGTCAGTGAGAGGCTAGGTGTTCATATACTCAGCACAGGGTGCCACAGTAGATTGACTACGCAGAAGCGGATGTGAGGCTATGTATGAGGATCCTATAATGAGCCAGATATTAAAGATATTTGCATAAATATAAAACAATGCCCCTGTTCTCAGTACATTTTTTGTTAGTTTTGGAACATAGTTATTTTTTACTAAAAAATATTTGTGTCGAATGTGCCTTTTTTTTTTTTGTGAGGAAGATCAGCCCTGAGCTAACGTCAGATGCCGAACCTCCTCTTTTTGCTGAGGAAGACTGGCCCTGGGCTAACATCCGTGCCCCTCTTTCTCTACTTTGTATGGGATGCCGCCACAGCATGGCTTGATAAGCGGTGTGTCTGTGCGCGCCTGGGATCTGAACCTGCAAACCCCAGACCGCCGCAGCGGAGCGCACGCACTTAGCCACTTGCACCACTGGGTCGGCCCCGAATGTGCCTTTTTTTTTAATTAATCAATATTTTGAAAAACCACCAGTTTAAATTTCTAGTTGCAGCAGATATAAACCAACTAACAAAATCTCTTTAGGGTCTACAATAGTTTTTAAGGGTGTCCTCGGAAAAGGTCCCTGAGACCAAAAAGTTTGAGAATGGCTGCCTTACAACATCCTAAGAAGTATTATTACCCCTGTTTTACAAACGAGGAAACTGAGGCACAGAAAAGTCAAATAACTCGCTCAAGGCCAGGCAGCTGGTAAGAGCTGAAACCATGGTCAGATCCCTGCGCAGCAACCCAATGAGGTGGACACGTGACTTTTCCCATCCTAAGTCAAGGACAGTGAGGAATGGGAGGGGCATTACCTTCCTGTAGCTACTATAACAAATTGACACAAACTTGGTGACTTAAAATAGTAGAAAGTTATTCTCTGACAGTTCTGGAGGCCAGAAGTTTGAAATCCAGGTGTTGGGAGGGTCGTGCTTCCTCTGAAGGCTCTAGAGGGAATCCTTTCTTGTCTCTTCCTGCTGCTGGCTTCCTTAGCTGGTGGCAGCATCACTCCAGTCTCGGACTCTGTCTCGCACACATGGCCTTCTTTTCCGTATGTCTGTCTTCTCCTCTGCATCTCTTATCAAAACACTTGTCATTAGATTTGGAGCCCACCCACACAATCCAGGATGGTCTCACCTCAAGATCCTTAACTTAATCACATCTGCAAAGACACTGTTTTCAAATGGGATCACATTCACAGGTTCTGGGGACGAGGTCACGGACACAGCTCTTTGGGGGAGGAGGAAGGGTGGTACCATTCAACCCACTAGAGGAGGTTAAGTAACTTGCTTAAGGTCCCCCAGCTGGGAGAGATGGCCCTGAACCCAGTGGGTGGCCGTGGTGAATGAAGGAATGAATAACGAGTGTCCAGATTGGGGTAATTTTGCCCTCAAGGCAGCAAAGATATCCTGAGAGCCTGTTGGGAGGGGACAGCACCAGCCTGCTGTCTGAGCCTCCAGACCAGGGTAGGAAAGGGTTGGGAGGGTGAGGGGGATGGAAATGACTTCAGGGAGGGAAAGGGGAGGCCAGAGTCTGAGGTGACCTCCGAATGGTGAACCTGAGTGCTTACGAGAATGGTTACAATCTTATGAAAAGTAAAGAGAAGCAGTTGAGCCTCGTGGTTAAACTCCCAGAGCCTCTCGGAGATCTAATCTTGGTGCAGTCACTGACCGGGTGTGTGAGCCTGGGCAAGTCATGTGACCAATAGGTGCCTCAGTTTCCCCCTCTGTAAGATGAGATCACAGAGGGTGACTGTGATTATTAAACAAATCAGTGTATGTGCCGGCCACACAAAGTGCTATAGAAGAGTTAGCTTTTATTATTATTATTAAAGAAACCTGGAGGAAGTGTCCGGTCTGGGTGTAGGTGTAGATGTCCAGTTGACAGCCAGAAATGTGGACCTGGAACTCAGGAGCAGAGCAGTAGATGTGATTAGACCTAAACTGATATTCACTCATTCAGTAAATATTTAGCTCTTAATGTCTGCCAGGTACTCTGCTAACCCTGCTGGCTATGGCAATATACAAGAGAGACAGGATGACTGCTCTCGCGGGAAAAGGACATAGACAAATAAAACCAAAATAAATTAATTTCAGATGGAGCAAGAGAGGGTTGAGAAAAGGGAGGAGAATCAAGGAATTCTTGTGTCACAGAAACCAGATGTGTTAGCACTCTTCAATCGCAAAAAGAGTCCCAGACACCATATCTTTTCACCTATAAACACTTTATTTTTTTTTAAAGATTTTATTTATTTATTTTTTTCCCCTTAAAGCCCCAGTAGATAGTCGTATGTCATAGCTGCACATCCTTCCAGTTGCTGTATGTGGGATGCGGCCCCAGCATGGCAGGAGAAGCGGTGCCACGGTGCACGCCTGGATCCGAACCCCGGGCCGCCAGCAGCGGAGCGCGAGCACTCAACCGCTAAGCCGCGGGGCCGGCCCATATAAACACTTTAAATGTATTTATTTATTTATTTATTTTGTGAGGAAGATCAGCCCTGAGCTAACATCCATGCCAATCCTCCTCTTTTTGCTGAGGAAGACTGGCCCTGCGCTAACATCTGTGCCCATCTTCCTCCCCTTTATATGGGACGCCGCCACAGCATGGCCTGACAAGTGGTGCCTCGCTGGGCGCCCGGGATCCGAACCCGGGCCGCCAGCAGCAGAGCGCACGCACTTAACCGCTATGCCGGGGGGCCGGCCCCTAAATGTGTTTCTAAAACGTTTTGAAACTATATATCCACAGTGCCATTATCGCACTTGAAAAAATTAACAATAATTTCTTCATATCAAATATCCAGTGTGTTCAAAATGTCAATTGTCTCATCAATTTATTTTTTCACAGTTTTACTCAAGACCCAAATAATATCCACATATTGCAGTTGGTTGACACGTCCCTTAGTCTCTTTTAATCCTTCATCTCTTTTTTTTTTCTTAGCCTCAAAATCTTTTTGTTGATGAAACAAGGTTGTTTGTCTTATGGAGAGTCTCAGTCTGAATTTTGCTAATTTCACCACTGTAAAGTCCTTTAATATGTTTGTTCTCTATATTTTCTGTAAATTGGTAGTTGGATCAAGAGATTTGATCTGAGTTCAATTTATTTGGTGGTGGTGTGTTCTAGCATTTCTTTTTTATTTTTGGGGGGAGGATTCATTTTTTATGTTTATTTAGATATAATCACATGAAATAATATTCACCCTTTTAATGTGTACAACTCAGTGGTATTGAGCATATTCACAAGGTTGTGCAACCATCACCGCTCTTTAATTTCTCAACATTTTCATTAACCTCTCCCCAAAACCTTGTACCATTAGTAGTCCCTCTCTGTTCCCCCCCACCTCCAGCCCCTGGCAACCACTAATCTGCTTTCTGAGTCTATAGATTTG